AATTGCCCTGTATTTGGCTCCATCCATCTTGCTCTCCGTCGTGACCCGTTTCCAATCCACTGCCAAAGACAACATGATTCTTCTGCCACCCCTGCCAAACCATGGGCTGTGTTGGCCCCTATTACACATTCATACATTTACAGGCTAAGGATCCCTTTTTTTTTTCAAAGTTTTTTTGATGTGTGGATCCAATGAGTTTTGGAAATTAGTCAGTTGGCTAAATTAAGGATCTGCATTATCTGTAAAAAAAAATAAGTCAAGGCAACTGGACTTGCTGTATTTTTTCTTGAAGACGTTTCACTGGACATCCAACCAGCTTTTCAATTCAGAATTGAGACAGCTGGTTGGATGTTAAAGGAGAATTATGAGGCGAGTGATTTTCACTCAGCCTCGTAATCTGAGCCGACCTGTGACAATGAAACTGTCACGGGTCGGCTCAGTAGATCGGGAAGTGAGCGAACACAAACCGGCATTCGCTCACTTCTCGATCCTGTCACTGCAGAGAGCCGTGACAGGGGAGTGACTGGATTCTCCCCTCCCCTGTCTGATCCTCCAGCGCTGACTGGGGGAACGGACGGGGGAGGGGGCGGGTACAGCTGGCTCTGCCTCTAGATAGGCAGAGCCAGCTGTCACTCACGCAGCTGGGCGGATCCAGACATAATTGTCGGGATCCGTTTCAGCTGCGGCGTGTCAGTATACCGTGAGCTGCAGCTCGCGGTATACTGAGCTTGGGGTAACGGGAGGACGCTAGTTTGTGTCCTCCCATTACCCTTCGGAGAACTATGGGGAAAAGCCCTAACACCATAGTTCTCCTTTAAGTGAAACGTCTTCAAGAAAAAATCCAGCAAATCCAGTTGTCTTGACTTATTTTTTACAGATATACCATGACCTGGATGAATGAGAACATTCACAGACAAGGATCTGTATTGTACAGGTTTCAGAATTGAGCCTATAGTGTTTAAAGCCAAAAAGCTCTGTTTTGCTTTCACCAGACATGACAACCTAAAACTGGTGGAGAAAAGATTTAGCCACAAAGGGCGTAGGGGCTTCTTTTCAGTCAGAGTGGTTACATTTTGGAACTCTCTGCCAGAAGCAGTGGTATCAGCTGAGCGTATTGAATCATTCAAAAATCAATTAGATACCTTCCTCGGAAACCATAACATACAGGGGGGCAGGTACTCTTAAAAACTAAGACTATACAGGGACTCGTATACAAACACACACACGCAGAACACAGACACATAAAGGTTGAACTCAATGGACCTGTGTCTTTATTCAACCTCAAATACTATGTAACAACCTAGTTAAAGCATATCTACACCCAAGAACGAAGGTGTAATAAACTGCAGCTTACAAGTCTTTTGGATGTTGTGGCCGCATTCGTTTTCTTTTTTTCAGACTTCTTTCCTTTATTTTTATCTAGTAATTTTGCCAATAACACACATTTTCTGTCCTAGGGTGACAGTGCTCACTCACTGTACTGTATCTATGTAGGAACAAAGTTGTCACCCAAGGCTAATCTTCCTGTTTTGGGCTACAAACCTCATCTCCATCTCCATAATCATAAGGATAGGTGTTTAAAATATCAGATCAGGACACAGTAAGTTACGCGCACACTGGAGTTTTGGCAGGACAAACAGGTTTTTTATATACTTGCAAAAAATATACTTCCCCTCAAAAATGAAAACAGATGCAGCCACCACATCTAAGGACTGGCAAGCAGCAAAATATTACATTTCTGTTCTCGGGTTTAGATTTTAAATTCACTTTTTTTTATTGTCCTTTTATGCTGTAACATTCTGGAACCGGGATGCATTTATCCGTGAGAAAGCAGACTGAGGGGGTTGCAGCGAGCCCCTGGATTATTGTAATTTCTATATGTATCTGCGTGCATTGCTGAGATTGTCATTGTGCAAGAGAGGAGCTCATTGTTCTAGCCGGCCTTTGCTGCTTATGTCTAAATTCAGCAAGGCAGAAAAGTGCAGCTGCACAGATAATGCATTCTCCCCAAGGGCTTCGGCTGAGCAAATTAGGTGTCAATGGGGTGTCTGTGCAAGCAGCACTCCTTCTAATTAGTCTCCCGAGCCTGGTCGGTGGCAGGTAGACGGTGATCTAATCAATTGCTGTGCGTCTGATGCTTGCCAAGTCTGAAAATGCTGCCAGGCAGGGTCTGCTCCCACAGGTCATTCACCTGCTCAGTGGGACTTCTCATTTTCATTTTTACATCTTTTTTTCTTTAGCGTGAGGCTTTTTTGGAGTTGCCATTCCTCCCAAAATGTCTGCTCTGTCCTGTGGAAAAAGAGAAGGCTTTCATCCCCTTGCTCTGCATTAAAGAGGAATTCCAGCCTAACGTTCTAAATTCACATATGTGAACCATTGTACCTGCCAAAATGTTGTCATTTTGTCCCTATGCTGTTGTGATTTGCACACCTCTGGCATCCTAGAACGGTGACACCATTGTTTTTAGCTTACATCTCTACAGCTTCCCTTCTGTAAGATGCCTAAATGTCTCTCCTTCCAGCCCCCAGTGCCTAAGGCATGTTGGAATGACATCACTGGCCATTATAATAATCTGGATGGCTCAAAGTGCTGGCTCTGCCACTCTCAGCCTTATTCCTGGCATTCCTGTTGTGCAGTGGATAATGGCTATATGGGCAGATTACACATTTCAGTAAATATATTAGCAGTATTTAGAAATACAATCAAACTTGCTCCATAAAGGGTAAATGATGTATGTTCTGAAACTGTTTATGTTGTCCTCTCTCTTCCCTCCTTAAATCCCAACTTCGAGTTTGGAAGCTTCCGCCAAGCTGTTTGCCCCCCACCCCCTTGGGGTATACCCTCACCCTTTAATTAAAGAGAAAAAAAAATCAATATACATCCTCTTCTCCCAGGTGTCTTAGGTTGGTTTTGGCACAGATCTTTTGTACCCTCTTCTTCCTCCAGTGGTGGGTGGATCCACATAATTACAAGGCGCAGCTCTCTGTAGAACTCTCTTGTGAGTCCGGGGTGGGAGGTGGAGCCTTGACGCCCTGTGCTCACAAGAAGCAGGCTGAATGATGCTGGCTGTCATTCAACCTGGAAGATGACCAACACTGGATCGGTGACCAGGTCATTCTGAAGGGGGCGGCACAGAAATAGGGTCAGTATTGCTGCTGGGGCTGTTTTGCTTTTTAACAATTATGGGGAAAGATCTTTGCATTTTGGGAGTTTGGCTTTAAATATTTCAAGGACCTTGTTGGTAATATACTAGGGCTGTTACTGATTAAAATTTTCGTGTTCGATTAATCGAAAACAAATGTAATCAATTAATTTTGATTAATTCTAACGCACATACAGATCCAACTACATTGGCCTATACACATACAGCACAGCAATGAAGTAATAAAATGAACTAGGATCACACTAATCCAGCACGTTATTAATCTCACGTGCCCCACTCAATATGGCCGCCGCTTGAGTGGGGCAACTCAGAATAATAACGTGCTGGATTAGTATGATCCTAGTTCATTTTATTACTTCATTGCTGTGCTGTATGTGTATAGGCCAATGCCTTGGCTGGCGCTCGTGCAGAAAGTTTCTTGGGCAAACCTCTTAGTTGTAACGAAACCGGAAGTCAGGCGGTCGCAGAACTCGATAAGTTCTCAGTGTCGACAGATCACCGGCCCAAGTGGCTCCGTCGGCTAACGAAGGGAAGGGGGGGAGGAGTCCGTTGACATCATGGACATCGTCACCGGACTCCTCCCCCCTTCGCTTCGTTAGCCGACGGAGCCACTTGGGGAAGGGGGGAGGAGTCCGGTGACAGTATGTGACACGGGGACCTTAGATTGTAGGCTTCTTGGACAGGCACTGATGTGAATGTGCAGTATGTAAAAGCACAGCATTGTCAGCACTATAGAAATTATTTATTTTAACAGCTTCATTACTTCTCTGGAAAAGCGTATCCTTATTATACGCATGAGTACAAGTTAACCATAAGCATTTAGCCCACATTATTTAACATGATAGTTTGGGTATGATTTAAAGATCCTCCCTGTACCACAGCTGTGAACAAAAACTGTAATGCCTAAAGCAGTGGAAGTGGATGATTTCATTTATTTTAGCTCTGCATCTAAATTATGTAAAGCATCTCACTGGGGGCTTGTGGCATCAAAATGCAGTGTCACTCACAGCCGCCCTATAATATACTAATAAATTTTATTTGTGACAGTCCTGGGCAGTTCAGACTCAGCCTGTACATAGGTAGAGGTTATCTTCAACCTAAAGTCAAAACCATTAGTAGATCCAACACTGGCTGTCTCCGCCCACACCACTCTCCAGATCTGTGACAGGAGGCTGACCGATGCGGGGAGGAGAGATGCCGACCACTCACAGTGCTCTCCTCCCGCAGCGCTCGGCCTGACAGTTTCTCTTCTCCCCGCTGGGACACAGAGCAGCGCCCAGCTAGGAGGAGAGGAAGAACGGATGCAACGCTATTTCAGCCAGAAAAGGGGCACTTTTGCCAAAAGGGACATTTTCGGCCAATATGTTTCGGCGGCCGATATATCGGTTCATCCCTAGTTATGTCATTTTATATATATATATATATATATTATTTTTTTACATTTTGTTGAAGCTCATTCACAACTGGAGAGAGTCTAGCAGGCATGACTGTTATCCTGAATATACAATGCGAATAGAGACTGAGCTAAAGAAAGAAAGTTATGAGAGACAGTCATCCAGTTTCTGCCTTTTAGTTTGTTTGTCTGTAACCTATTCTCGTTTTTCTTCAGCTCAACATCAGTGTGCATTATATATCGCATATAATCCTCCCACATCCTGACTTCAATACCTACAATATTATTTCGGACAGAATGATATAGAAATAAAATGAACAAGTGTTATCAGCCAGTCCTGTGAACATTGTAAATGTGGTCAAATCATTCATTTCATTTTCTACTTATCTGGAGAAACAGGCCTGGGACACTGTAAATATTTCCCTTTTTTTTCTTCTTTATTAGGATAAGACCTCAATCATCGGAGAATGGAAATAATTGAATTTAAGATGTTTGCCTTATGGAACGGAACCTTTTGGAGGTTGATCAGCATTCTGTTGATGTGAATTGAGAATCGAGAATTCGACAAGAAACTGTTTTCACCCAATAATTTGCTTCAAGCCTTGCACGCAATTTGCTACCTTGTGATTTATATGAAGATTAAAATGTAATATCTAGACAGCATATTTTTATTCTTAATTTTGCCTCCCCCCCCCCAGTTCCGTTCCTTTATCTACAGTAGAACACATATGCTAATTGGAATCCTTGCCAGTTCTCCGTTCTAGAACTCAATGCATACCTTTAATTTGACCGTTGAGTCGCAGGACTTTTCACATAAGAAAGAAAACAAAAAAAAAGAGATCTTGTCATCTCGCCATAAACGTTAGAAGCCACCATTTCATTTTGGATCAATGGTCAAATGCTCACCAACCGAACTTTTGACATTGCCGAATAACAAAGGCCATGTTTGATAGGTAGCAATATTTTGTTGAACAGGAAAGGCCTTACGTTTGGTATCATTAACAAATTATAAATATTGTACTCATTATTGTTTCATAGAAGGAAACAAAAACCTACATACCAAGGTTATGCCGTTGTGGGTTTGTTTGCATTACTCACGATCACAATGCAATTTGGGGAAATGTGTTATATTTTTTTCAGTCTTTGTAGTCTTGAAATTATTATCTCTTGTATCATCTCTTTACAGATAAATTAAGGAAAAAATACAGAACTTGCAATTTAGTCCATTGGGTTCAAAGAAAAATAATTTTGATGAACCTTTATAAAGCATTGACAAAATACAGGATGGGTTAATATTGGGTACTCATAATGTATGTGGAGTTGTATGTTTTGTGTCTTCTAAATGAGTGTTCAGACTTTCAGCTTGCTACTTGGGATGACTTGCTGTGTCAGTCATACTTGAGTAGGGTGAGTCTATTGCAGACAGGTGACTGGCATAGTAAACATCCCACATAGTGTGAAGGCCGGAATTTCTGCACTTTGTGTTCCATGTCACAGCCAGGATCAAGTCCCTGATTCCTGAATCATTGGTTGGTTCATTTGTGATGCAGACATGAAATATGCGAGAGGTATTGTGGATGGATATATCTCCACAGCTGTTTATGGTGTAGAAGGCAAATGTGGCCTGTGGATGGTTTGTGGCCTTCAGGGGATGACAGTCTTGACATTAGCTGCCTCTTAAAGCCCAATTCAACTTTCAGTTTAAATCCGCAAAATACATTCCAGGTGCATCAAAAAAAAATTGTGCAATGTCCTACAGTACTTTTTTTCTTTTGAAAGCAGCCACAGTCTGAGTAGAAAAGCCTGTCCCCTGCCTGTCTGAGGGGAAGCAGTGGTCTCTCTTCAGAGGTATAACATATCCCCTGCTGAATCAGAGTCAGAGCTCTCCAGTCAGCAGGAAGCTTGAACTTTCCCAATTGCAGAGCTACGGGTCTGACTCAGTAGAGGGTGTGTTGGGCCTCTGGGGAGAGACCACTGCTTGCACTCAAAAAGGTCTACTGCAGCATGATGGCAGGATACAGGCTTTTCTACTCAGGCTGTGGCTGTTTTTAAAAGAAAATGAACTGTAAGACATTGAACCCCTTTTGATGCATCTTGAACGTATTTAGCTCATTTAATTTGAATTGAGTTCAGTTGGACTTAAAGAAACTTAAGCAACAATCCATCACTTTCACAAGCAAACCTGCATTGGTTTCAGATACAGCTCTGTTTAACATTGTCTTTCATCATTCCATGTGTAGAAGTTCCCAGGGTGTTCTGTTATGCAAAGTTGAACTTAACCTAAGCAAGCCAGTTCCACTTCCCAGTACACTCTTTTGGTCAGTTAGATCACCAATCAAAGAGCTGAGCCACTAGGAAGACATGGGAGTTGGGCTGCAGGAAGGAATAGGGGAAACATGGAAGATGTCATTGCTGAATTCTCATTCTGCAATCGCTAGTTGTCTGGTTGTAATGCTCACCCTTTGAGTTCAGACCTGAACCAAGCATGCAGAAGAGGTCTTCTGATTTTACCCCGACTTTCCTTACCTGCATACAGGTTCCGGGTCAGTGACTTAAAATGCATTGCAGACAGTTGGTCAGAATAGTAGTCAAGCCACTACCTTTTCCAGAAGGAGCTCAACATTGGCAACCTCCATGTTTCATTCAGCAAAGGTTCACTTTAATAGTGTTTCCAGGTTTGTGGCTCTCAGGCCAAATCTGTTACATTCTAACTGTACATTCTCTTTTCGATTTACCAACACATATGTAGTGTCTACCTGCTAAGACCCTCACACTGCATATCTGTTGGCAGATCTAAAAGTAACTGTACAGAGATTGTAGAATCAGGTTGTTGTGTCTATGGCCAGGTTTAGACAAAGCTGGAATTGGAGGTGCTTGCTATTGGATTGAATTGTCTGTTTATAACACTTGAACTTAGAACAGGTGCAAATTGATATATGTATTATCAATAGATACATTTAAAGCCGAATTCCAGGAAAAGAAAATATTTTCTAATACAAAAGTCATGTCTATTCTTCCTGGAATCTTAGTGAGCTTTGTGTAATTTCTTCCAGATCTGTGCAGTAATCCAATGTGACATTTGGAACTTCCTGTAATAAAGACAGGTCACTGCTGCTCTCTCTTCCTGTGCGGGGTGACTGGTTTTGTATCCGCCCCTTCCTGTAATATTCAATAGGCAGCCTGCAGTGGGTGGGGCCTGCTGGTAATAATTGGGTTTATAAAGGAATTTGATGCACACAAAGTGGATCTATATCCTTTGTAGCTATTGAGGAATGCTTTGAAATGAACGTTTTTGTGCCCGGAGTTCAATGTTAAGAAATTGTTCTGCAGGTGCTTTACATATTAAACCATGTGGCTAATTCAGAAATATCACTGCAAAGAAACCTGTAGGTGTTGTTACAGCAACAAAGACAAACTGAATTAAACATGCTTTTTATTTGTAGAGTAGGTGAAGGCTAGAGCCCCAGTCAGGTTTTAATTCTCTGTGTCTCTGGTGCAAATGTTTCCTCACTTCCTGTCTGGTGAATCATTGTCACCAGGACAAAAAGTGAGGAAATATCTTTCTTACGGAGCCCCTGATAGCAGTAAGAACCCAACGGGGGTTCTAATCGTTCCCCTCTCCATCCAGAACTCCAAAATAAATTAGTTTGGCACACAGGTCTTATAAAATGCCTATTTTGTTCTGATTGTGAAACAGTAAATATAACTCATCTACACAAAGCATTTTTTTTCAGTTTATAAATAGAATTAAAATGAAAATATGATCTGTCAAACTGCATAAGTATCATTGACCATTTCATTAAATCTAAATCTGATTTCATTATATTTTAGCGTTTTCTTTTTTCTTTTTGCCTTTTCCTAATTGATCATTTGCAAAATCTACTAATGTGCTCCATACTAATTGCCATGGTTTTGGGATTGGATGTCCAACACATTGGTGTGATGGTCAGGTGTCCATGTAAATTTGGTCATATAGTGTACATGCCATTTTCTAAAGCAAATCTCTAATTGCTTGCCATGAGAATAGAAATAGGTGCACCCAGTGTTATATATCCACAATACTTTTATTGTGGTCACATCTCCATCCATACACCTGTACTTTGTATTGTTGTTTTGGGTTTGGTCCTCCAGATGCATAATCCCAAATTTTGCTAACCTTTTCCAGCACAGGCGGGATACACAAAAATGATTTCCAAGTTCAAGGTCGACAATAGGGCCCATTCCTACTGATGCAATAGTATCAACAAGCCCCTTTTAGAAAATAAATCACAGGGATTCATGCGGTCAGGGGAGGCACAGTGGAGTAAAAAGCTGTTAGCTTCAAGTCTAAAGCTGGCAGCTTTTTCTCCATTCAGAGCGGCTTGTAACAGGTTACACAGCAGGAAAAGCCTCCTCGCTGTGTAACCTGTCATGGACGGAGTGCAGTCTGTTAATTACAGGCGGTGCTTCATCCAGCTTCTGACAGCTAAGTTAGGTTACACAGCAGCAGGCTTCCCCACTGATTGTGTAACCTAACATAGTGAGGCCAGAGCAGCAACAGCCTCTACTTTGTGTTAGAGGCTTGAGCTCTGTGGATGGTTTGGATCCAGAGTGCCATTGGTCCAAGTTGTCCAATCAAAAAAAAGAAGAAAAAAACCACTGAGGACATCGATCTCCATGCCTCAGCAGTGATGAGAAAGTAAGGACAGGGGCGTCCCGAGGCTGGGTGACACCCGGAGCGGTAACCGAGTGTCACCCCGCTGAGACGTCATCGCGCATGCGCGGCAGTCTTCTGATACCTGCCGGTGGCCATGTTGGTGATGGACGCCGGCAGAGAGAGGAGGGGACAGTCAACCCTCCTCTCCTGATACTGTCATGACTTTTCAGAGGGGGGTGACACCAAAATGACTTTAAGTCATTTTGGTGTCACCCCTCCAATGGTGTCACCCGGGTGCGGGCCGCACCCCCCTTGTGACGCCACTGAGTAAGGACAAGGAGGCTCCTCCCTGTCTCCCTCCCTCTTCCACACATAGCTTGATGACTGGGCTGGGGTGGGCAGAGGGAATGCCTCACCCTGCACCAAACGTACTGCACATACATCGCTGCAGGGATTATTGGTATTTATTAAACATCTAACTGTATCTAACCCAAGCACTTTCAAATGTCCTTTTTTTTGCATTTTGATTTATCAAGACATTCCATTTACATTGCCGAATATCTCCGTGCCTATTTAATTTAATTTTAGTCTTTGGCTTTCTTCAGTAAACCATTTAGTTTAAAATAGCATTTAAGGGCAGCCTAGAACAGAGGTGGGTTTTCTCTCCTGTATAATATAACATTTAATTACTAATTTGACCTTTAATTACCAAACAAAGGGTAACCTCGCATTCTGAAGCTTGTATTACATTTTGGGCTCTTCTGGAAGTTAAAATCAAGTAAAGACTTCTTTATTCCCCCTTATATGTCATCCTGGCAGTAGATCAAGTTAATTATTCAACATTTAAGAGAGAGGCCAATTTGGGGAATAAAAATCATATGCTGACAGTTAAGAAAGCCAGTTGACTATTAAATCATAATCTTAGTACAGTATATTTTTCTTAAAAAGGTAATGTGTGTTTTCGAGCGCTGTAATTTAGTCATCTTTGAAGTCCATAGCTAGAAAGAATTATACTTGGTGCATGATTAATATATACAGGGTTATTCACAAAAGGGTGAAGAGTTTGGAGAAGGCCGGAGAAGTGAACAATCTAGGACAAAATAGCTGAAGTGGAAAGTGAGTTGAATGGGAGAATTTTTCCAAATCAGATATGTTGTCCTAGATTGGTCACTTTTCCGGCCTCCTCCAAACTCTTCACCCTTTTGTGAATAACCCTGATAGTATATAGGCACAGGATCTCTTACCTGGAAGGCTTGGACACTAAAGGGATAAATGGCCAAAGTAAAGAATATCCTTACCTGATACTCACCTTGCCTGATACTCACCTGTTCTCCAT